CATACGTATTTCAGCATAATCCACCATGTAAACGCATACGTATTTCAGCATGGTTTATCTGAAGAAAAAAAATCATACAGGGAGAGAAAATGAAGGCAAACAGGTGCCCAAAGATGCTGTCCCAAATAAAATAATGTCATTGATTCAAATTGCACTTTCCAACAAAAATTCCCTACTCACAACCAATGAGGAAAAGTATCACTGTGAAACCACTTCAGTGCTGTGTCAGTTCAAATCAGCTAACTTCTGAAAAGGAATGTCTAGACTACATAACGTTGTGTAAATGCAAGGCAGACATCAAGTAGAAGTTGTACTACATGGCAGAAAATAATTGGATTACACACATAATAATCTCATACAGAATAAGATTTGTACAAGATTACAGTTTGCAAACACCTGACAGTAAGTGAGAGAAAAGAAAGTAGAAAGAAAAATAAAACATCTGGTTACTATGCTGTTTTCTATCGATAGTAGAAACCTCTATGTAACTATGATTCTTTGACCCTAAAATAATTTTACTCTTCAAGTGTGTCAAAAGTAATAAGTTTTGATAATTGTAATTAAACCTCTTGATGTCAACGTTATTAAATAACAAACTGACAAATGAATAGAATATGAATGATTAATGATGCAAACATCACAACCTTACAAGCTATGCTCAAAACAGTTTGTTATTTCAACAGTTCAATGGTGCAGTCCGATGTCACTTAGCAGAAAACTAGCCTGCAGTGCTTTTGTTTTTAACAGAACAGATGAAGAGCTTTGTATGAAGTATCCAGGGATTGACCTATTTCCAGAACCCTTCTTTGATATCCCAGTGCATTGTCAAGTGTCTTGTCCTAAACTACAATATAGCTATGAATTTTCTACAACTAAAAGTTACTGGATATGGGCATACCTTGTTGCATATGCCCAGAAGTTAAAATACAAAAGTTAAAGCTGGTAATTAAATTCCATGTGGCTGTTTTTTTTTGTTGTTGTTGTTGTTTTAAATATAAAACCTGATATGTTAAAATTTGGTTACAAAAATGTCTCTTGCCATTTACGATTTAATGGTTAGTAAGTTTTATTTCATTAAAACAAGATTTAAATTTTAAACATTTATAGGTCTATTGAGTAGATTATTAAACGCTCTAGTCCTAACAGTATCTTTTGTTAGTTGGAAATCAGTTGTTCAAAAGCACTGAAAGAAAAGATAAAGTGGTCTTCACCAGAAAGATCAATGAAATAAAATTTTAGTCAAATCTGACCAACAAATGGCTATCGTGTTAGTAAACAACTGTAAACTAATAGTATTTTCCATTTTTTATTGTTCATTATTAATCAGTACTTTATTTTAGCTTATCAATTGCTTGTTGAAAATATACTACACCCAAGTTTGTTGGATACAAAACTACAAGCCCAAAAAATACAAAGGGCACCAACTTGTAACCAAGTTGATTAGCAAAATATTTGATATACACTGGTAAAACTAAACAACAAACAGTTGCTTGGTTACTAATTAGAAAACGAAATGCGTTGCTATGTGAAACCAATTAATGAATAGTTTTTGTTTATTATTATTCTGGTCAAGCACACCTACCTCTTCAGCTGGTGGAGAACACTCTGCTAGAGCCATGTTGTCAGTCTCAATAGTCTGCATTCAAGCCCCAACACAAACAGACTTACAGAGTCTGAGGGAGAGATCACAGATAACGTTCATCCACCTGAAACATTGCCGCTGTATGGAACACTCGTTGTTAACTAAACCTTGCACCGGCTGCGCGAGCTTCGTCATCTACTATACAACAACCGGGCAGCTGGTGCACGTGCCACAGCGTCTCATTGGTGGGCCCGGATAGCGGAGGCCGGGGCAGCTGACGCACTAGGTCCGTGACAATGAGGTAACAACGGCCGTTCAACGCCCTTAATACGAGAAATTGGGAAGTTGCTGTACCCCATATTTGTATACTCAACGTTTACTATGCTTAATCAAAACAGTAAGCCTACGAAAAACCGATCTGCTTGAAAACAAACCCGCGTGCTTTATGTTCAGATTATAAACAATCTAAGCAGATTCGTAAACCCTGAGCTCACCTAACAAATAACGTAGACGTAAATGTGTAGTGACGTGTCTGACCGCACCTTTCTTTCGACAGAGCTTTTACAAAAAGACATGAGCTTATAATTACATGTATTTAACAAAACATCGTGCATATACTTCCCTAATTCCCACACAACTTATCAGAACATTTTCGGTCATGCTTACTGACCTTACCCCATTTTGGTGTCAGCAGGACTCACTTTTTCTTTTCGGTTTTCATGTAAACAATATTTCAAATGCGCATGCTTTATCATTGCAATATCGAATTTAAATTTGCCCTTTTCACAACATTATAAGAAAGTTAATTTTAAAGTCCCCAAAACTTACGAATTCCCCGTGTTTCTCTCCCTAACCATAAATAACTGATGATCAGTACATATTGCTCTTCTCTGCTCCAACACACATTTCCTGATCTTACACGAAGAATCGTAACCCTAGCTTGTGTGAGGTCATCACTCAATGTGTAATCTTGCAGAAAATAAAAACACGAGTCACAGATAAGAGCAGAAAAACAAATAGGAGCCTCAGTATATAATACACAGAAATATTAAGATTGCCAAAATAGTTACGTAAATTTAAAAAATAACAGTGCACAGAATGTTCCAGAATTATGGACCCACAGGGAAAAATATACAATTTATTTAACTGTAAGAATATAATGTCTATTTTCCCTATGGGTCCAGACTTCTGGGACACCCTTTACACCTCCCACCAACGTCGTTTGGTTGTGAAGAAACGTCACCCACCACCAATCCATTTTAAATATTTTGATTTCTTTACTGGTAGTAAGCCTGATTAGTTTCACAGATTTGAATCATTCAAGTTTTGTAACACTGTAGAATACTGTATACACATTTATAAGAAGAAAAGCTAATACTAAAACGACCATATACGTTATTTCAATCGACATTATTAATCCAGTTTTCTCGATTCCTTAAAATTGTTTTTTTGAAATTGACCTGATTATTCTGAGCTGTAAAGATGAATAAAATTAGTTACAATACCATTTACCTATATTCAAGGTTACTAAAGAAATACAGAAAAAAAATATGGTTTTTGTTCACCTGAGCGTATATATTTACGGTTAACGATCTGAAGAACTGAACGTGTTTACATGGTGGATTAAAACAAAAATTTGCAACAAAATTCAAAGATCATAACATGAATGGCAAGACAAAACAGGGAAGAAGACAATCATCCAAGAAGAGATAGAAATCAGTTCCATGGTGATGAAAAGGAGTGGAACAAAAAAAAAGAAAAAACTTCTTGGCTGATCCTAGGTTAAAGCATCTATAACCTGGGCTGTTGGATTTATGACTGATGACCAGAGAAAGGGGCAAAGTGGTCACTTTACAAGCAATGACATTATTGGATGTGAAAGTTGACACACCAGGAGATTAATTTCTTATGGAAAATAACAAGCTCATAATAAAGTGATAGTAGTTCACTACCTCTGGACACAAAACCACTTAGCAAGTCCCACCCGTTTATTGATATTGGTGATGGTAAAAATGCTGTATGAATACAATTCAATAACCAGTCCCATAAAATGTCCAGGAAGGTTATGCAAGGCTTTCAAATAGCTCATATTGTCAGAATATGAAGGCAATTCTTCATCTCTGCTATGCAATTCTCTAAAACAGACTCCATGCTTGGGATGAAGCATCCATTAACAAATTAATATCTAGCCTCGGAGGTTTCAAGGAAAAGTGCCTTAATGTACTGTTGTTCCAATCCAATCACTAATTCCAAGCCATCTAAGTCTGTTTATGGAGGCACTGAACCAGACAGTCTCTTCCTGGAAATATTCTATTGTGAAACCTAGTCCTACTGGAAAATTATTCTGATGAGCCATATTCAGAGGTATCAAAGAAGCCTCCCCCACCAAAATACAAATAAATGAAAGAAGTCTCAATCTGGAGAACCTTCAGGAAGATAAATTTCAAAACTACATAGCAGTGAAAAATGTAATCTCTCCACATGAGAATCAGTCAGAACATTCAGATAACAAATTAAGACAATTGGGGGCCTTGATGAAAGTGTGGAGGATTCTCACTCAAAGTTATAGTAGAATTATGGTATTGTATTTTAGATTAACATTTTATAGTAAAACTCTAAAGAGTTACAACTTTAATTATTACTTCCCGTGTTTTGTTAAGTGACTGATACAAGTATGCTAGAAGTGTGTATATATTGTAGATGAAGTGCCTACACAAGACAGTAAATAAAAAAACCTGTTACATACAAAATCTGTATATGTTGAAGAAGGGCCATATGTGCTAGACTAAGTGTTTGTATACAGTGGGTAGAGAACCCATCCCATTTAGTTTCAGTAAGTCGAAGAAACAAAAAAGTGTCTATATTGAGAAGTGGATAGCTTATAACACACACACACACATTAACTTATTACATGTATCTTCTGACCACAGAACACACACAGAGATCTTAGTTTCAAATAACCTGAGGCATGTATACCCTGTTCGTAAATTATCTGTTTACATTGAACTTACCGAGTATAAAGGGCTTAATGTTTTACTAATGTATAACTTCTAATAACAAGGAATGCCTGATATAAACTGTGTGGAATGTATGGTAGTGATAATACAGACATCATTAATAAACACATTAATGGTGCGTTCATGGTCATAGATATAACTTTTTTTTTCAACCAATGAACAAATAATTGCTTCAATTAAACTATGTTACTCATTATCCTCAACTCTAAGAACTTTCTTTTTTCTGCTCTACAAAAAAGACCACCTTTTGTTTTTATGCTGAATTATTAATTACTGTATGACATACATTCAGAATTAGTTTTGAAATCTTCAAAGGTTTCATATCAATAATTCAAACTAACCCATTCCTACAATTAAAGATGAATGTTTTGTTAAATACACTAATTTATACTTACAGTTATGTACATTGAAGGCGGATGTTGATACTGTGCGAACTTTGCATTCAAAGCTTCAAGATTTCTTCGAGTCAATCTTATCATACTTCGTATGTTCTTTAACTATAAAACAGATAATTTACAGTTTTTAGAAGCTTGCAAATATAAAATGACTTTACACTAGATTAAAATAACTTTCATAGTAAATCAGAACTTAAAACATACCTTTCTTTTCACTGTTTCCTTATACATATCTAGTATTATTTGTTTTTCTTAACTAAGAAGTTTCATTGAGTTGGTAAATGACTCGTCTTTAAAAGATGTAGAAAATCAAGTGTTTCAGACTGTTCAAGATCAAATTACAATTATTTATACAATGAAGATAATGAATATTTAACCTATTCTACTTGAAAAGAAACAACCAACAAAAAATAAGCATATAGTAATGTGCCACTTAACAGATTCAGAAGGAAAGCTAAAGACTTGGCTGATCTTCTCTAATCTTAATGTGAGAATACCCATCAAATGGGTCACAATCATGAAAAGAACATACCATACACTAGTAAATATTTAAGCCTCAAATGGCTTAACTTCCTGTAAAAATTGATATACCAAACCACTTCAGCATTCTGTTATGTACAAGTAATTTTATCTTCTAATACAACAAGAGTTGGCAGTAAATGGTCTTAACTAGATGCCTTTCTTCTAATCCATCTAAGCTAAGGATGACTGGTGCAGGTAGTCTTTGAGTAAATACACCTATGGGTATATAGCTATGTTAAAGTGTAAATACTTTATCATTCAATATTTACGGGTATACAGGTACTAAGAAGTATAGAAGCAGCAGTAACCAGTATTTACCTATGTAACTGTGAAATTTATATCATCAAGTACCCTCAGGTATGTGAAAGTGTGAAAAATTGCATCACCAAGTATTTACAGGTATATAGCTGTGTGTAAGTGTGAAACTTCATTATCCAGTATCTACAAGTTTATAACTATGTGAAAGTGTGAAACTTCATTACCCAGTATCTACAAGTTTATAACTATGCAAAAGTGTGAAACTTCATTACACAGTATCTACAAGCTTATAACTATGTGAAAGTGTGAAACTTCATTACACAGTATCTACAAGTTTATAACTATGCAAAAGTGTGAAACTTCATTACCCAGCATCTACAAGTTTATAACTAGGTGAAAATGTGAAACTTCATTACCCAGTATCCACAAGTTTATAACTATGTGAAAGTGTGAAACTTCATTACCCAGTATCTACAAGTTTATAACAATGTGAAAGTGTGAAACTTCATTACCCAGTATCTACAGATTTATAACAATGTGAAAGTGTGAAACTTCATTACCCAGTATCTACAAGTTTATAACTATGTGAAAGTGTGAAACTTCATTACCCAATATCTCCAAGTTTATAACTATGTGAAAGTGTGAAAAAGTGTCCCCACCCTTGAATAATTTTTAAATGAAAAGGCCAGTCATTAACCAAAACAAATTATATGCCAAAATGTCATTATATGTTCAGAAGCCAGCATTTTATGTAGACTATTTTTGTTTTTTTATATGACTGATATGAAGATCATTATTCTCAGACTCTTCCTCAAGTTAGTACTCTTCTCACACAAACCTAACATTCAGTTTCTGATACAGATTCAAAGATAAACAAGAAAGTGAGCTATTGGTATCTGCATATAGACAGTTCTTAGCTGGTTTATTTTTTCCCTCTACTTAACAGTATACATAACTAATCAGAAATAGTTTCTGAAATGCATGCTTAATTTGGCTCCATTCTGCCAAATACATAAAATAAAAGCCAGGTTAATATAGATAAGCATCCTTATGAATATAGCAGAGCATAAGGTTAAAAGTCACTATCTCTAACAAATTAAACATAAATTTTCTTTTTGAAATGACACCGCTTTAATGATAATCTAAATTAAGTTACGCCAAGTAAAAAGACATACCAAATTATTTCATGTGGGATGACTTCAAATCTAAATTAGGGAAGTTACTAATAAGATGGGACAGAAATTACATGCAGGATTATGAAGTCAACATTAAGACTTGTTTCAAATCTAAGACGTGTGTATTGTTTTACAGCACTCAAGCTTGCTTCTTCTTGTGAAATAAATATAAAACAACATTAGTAAATTAGGCATCAATAAAATATTAACATATATCCTGCAAATATCTAAATAATTACTTTAAAACTACTGGGTAAGATTTATAATCAGTTGTAGACAGATTCACGACACATAAGTATGTGTGAACATGGGTCTACTTTGCAATGACTCATTATATGTCACATCTTTCTTCTGAGTGTGCCTGAAACATTGCCATGACTCAGCAAGGATATCAAAAAATACAGTTTTTAAATATTTATGTCCACAATGAGCAGTGAAAACAGCTCAACAATGTAGTAACATTCCCTGAATGAATTTCTAGATGAAATTCCAGGGAATATATATCCATATTCCGTCACTTACACATTTTCCAACTGATCCAGTAAGTTTCATGAGAGACTTAATTGGACATTAAACACATTCGTGAAGCTAGTTTAATATATGATCCATTGAACTGAGGTCTGAAAAAAATGTTAACTAATCCATTCTTACAACAGGTTTTTGTTCAAAGTAGGCAGTGACAATACGTATACAGTTGGAATGAGAAAATATTATCCAATACTCCCAGCACGAGGCCTGAAAATCAATGCCAAGATTTCATCCTTATAACTCAAAACATTTGAACAACTGTCACAATGATGTAAAGACCAGTAAGTTCACTGTAGCAGACGCTGCCCTTCACTTCAGCTCAATACAGTCAGGATAGCTTGAATTTATGATGCGACACACTCCATTTTTCCCCACTAAAAATTACTGATACACATACTCTATGCTTCTTTAACTGTTGAAACTTAACACATATTAAACCATGTGAGACATTATTTCAGTTTGCCTATTAAAGTAGTTACAAACAATATTTCAATTACAAACATATAAAAATATTCATATAATATTGTTAGATGTATAGACAAAGCATTGATAACATTTAAAAGCAATGAATTAAGAGAGAAAATCCACCAAGCATTTCTCCTGTGATATTCTACGATCATTTCATTAACATTATAATTACTTACAATGAACTAACCTAAGGTACTTCATAATCAACAAAGCTGTCAGCACAATGCAGTTTCAAATTGTAACTATTAATTTGGAAAAGCAAGTGAAATGCAAAATAATGCTGAATGGATTCTTTACTTTGAGTTCGTAACAGTTTAGTTTACCATTACTTGATCACAATTACTTTATAAGTGTCCAATAATGTCTCATACATGGTGAACTCTTGAGATAATTTCATTTTTCACTAATTTTTATTCCAAACCTTTTGTAGAAACCATCTTAAGTCCAAAAAATCAGTAAAGTTTCTCAACCATCCCCGTCCCCAAAAAAATTCCACCTACTATTTTGGACTTTGGGTCATTCCTTCAATGATTCTAATCAATCTGGTAATCAGACTACAGAAATAGTTAAGTTCCAAAATGATTTCAATGAGCACTTCCAAGATAAAATGTGAATATTTCAAATTAAAACTTGTTAATTTATACAAATAATTAAAATAACAAGAATGTTCATTACAATGTCAGTACTGTAATTTATCAATTTCAGAAATGATAAATATGAAAAATATTAACATCTCTGAATTATAACTGTTTGGAAAGTATGCTCAATGGACAGCAACAAATGAATATATCTATTTCAAAAAAGTAAACAGCCAATAAAGAAAAAATTTACATCTTAATTACCAACACTTTAATTCAATCTATTTAATTATATTTTTTGTATCTCTATTTATTGATTTAAAAAAAACATTTAGGCACAAAATTTAAGCATCCAGAATTTATTCTTTCCATCAATTAAAATGTAAACATAAAAGATATTGACACTGTTTTTCATTTAATAAGATTGTTTTGAAATATGATGCTATTTGCCTTAGTACTCTATCATAGTGGTTCCCAAACTATGAGGCTCCCTTGATGTGAATAAAAAAGTTTGAGGCACCCCAACCTATAAAAATGCCTTAAAATATGATTTATCAATTTCAAAAAATAATTACTAATGGAACTTTAATGATATCTATAAAGTACTTTTTCTAGTAAGTTGTATGTTTGTAATTTAATATGGCTTTTTTTTTATCAATTTATATGTATTATAATTAGACCATTAGCAATTTGTTATGTATGGGTTAAATTTGTAATCTGATGAGCAATTAAATATACATTTAATTTTATGTAAGGTAATCTTATTTTCATTTTAAAATATGAAGAATTCCTGTAATTTAAGTTTCAAGATTAATAATAAATTATAACAAAAATATAGAATTAAACATTTTATTTACAAACTAATATACAGTAAAACTAAAATAAAACATAGAAAAAACATAGCAGCCCACTTTGGGAAACAAGTGCTTTATTGAATAAAGTGAAGAAATGCTGACATAATGTAGTAAGTACATGTACAATCCTACAACTTCACAATTCTGTTACTAGAGAATATATTAGATGTAAAAAATTACCTTTGGTAAGACATTTTATCACAAACATACACTAGTGGAAGAGAAAGGTGGATATAGATATAACTAATATTAACTTCTGCTCAGAACAAGCTACCTATTAAGAGTAAAACTAAAAATCAATCTGGTAATGAGTATAGCTAATTAAGTATACTTTTCTTATGCTCTCACTAATAAAGATTAAAATGCATTGTTTGTGGAAGAGAAAGGTGGAAAGGTAGGCCATAAACACAATAATATCTCACAAGGTTTGACCCACTTAGAAGATTTAGGTTAGTCCTAAGTCCACATACAGAGCTAACAATGCAAAACAACCTCTATAATAGAAGTAAAAAATAATAAAATTACATATTTTAAACATTGTTTGTGAAAGTAACATTGAAGAAGTAACTGTGTATGGAACATACATTAGCTGTTGGTTCAAAATACTGTCAGTGAATATGTAGCATCAGTATACCCGTGTGTAAACAAAACTTTCAAAAATCCTCCCTAAAAGCATCTTATGACTAAAGAAAATGCATTAAACAGCTTTGACAGAGTAG